ATTTATTTGAGAGAGAGAGAATGAGAGACAGAGAGCATGAGAGGGAAGAGGGTCAGAGGGAGAAGCAGACCCCCCGCCGAGCAGGGAGCCCGATGCGGGACTCAATCCCAGGACTACAGGATCACGACCCGAGCCGAAGGCAGTCGCCCAACCAACTGAGCCACCCAGGCGCCCAAGGTTTCCCTCTTTTAAGGACTCATCTGACCAGATATGGCTCATCTGGATAATCCAGGCTACTCTCCCCAGCCCAACGACCTTCATTTAACTACATCTGCAAAATCCCTCTTGCCATGGGAGGCAACCTAGTCATGGGTTCTAGGGATTCAGATGTGGACATTTTGGGCAAGGCCACTCTTCTGCCTTCCACTCTGGCCCAGCTCAAGTAGCCCCCACTACCTTCAAAGACTCCTCTCTACCATTCTGGGCTCCTCTGGCCCTAGGTCTAGGTTTCCCACCAGCTTCTGAAGATCTTCCCCACCATAGCTCTTATCACCTGGAATTGTAATTACATGTCAATTGGTCATTTTCCTGCAATAAGCTTCAAGGTCCATGAGAGCAGGGACAGGGTTGGTCTTGTTTACTGACATATCCCTGGCAACTAGCACACTGCCTGGCACACAGTGCTCAACAATATTTTGAGGGGGAAAACTTCTATGACACCTCACTTTCTATTTTAAGTTACATCCTGGCCATATGATTTTTCCTCTGTGAGACTATACACTTCTTGAAAGCAGGGTTCACATGTGGCTTGTCTGTTGTATCCCCTGGAGCATCCGGACAGTGCTCAGGGCGTGTTTGTGGAATTGAATTGAATAAATAGGTTCAGACTCATCTCAGTGGTCTGGTTCTTAAACAAAGGGCACAGGGAGGAATGTGTGGGGATGAGGCGCCCTGGGTCAACTCGAACTCCCTAGGAAAAGTTTCTGGAAGAGAAGCCCTTGGGGCAGCGGTTGGAAGGTGTGAGGTGTGAGCCAAGTCAAATATGGGAAGGACAGCTGGGGGGCAGTAACCAGAGATGAGATGGAGTGGGGGAGGGCAGAAATGGCGACCAGGGCTTGGATGCCAGGTGGAGCGGTCTGGATTTGATGCGACAGGGTGCTATTGGGGATTACTGAGCAATGAGCGTTATGCTGAAAACAGGGTTGGAGGAAGACGGGATGGAAACAGGAGGACAGGGAGTATATTTCAGGGAGCAAAGTGCAGCAGGATATAGGCAGGGGGATGATAGCTGTCCCACAGGGACACCTAGACAGACTAGATGTGGAGACAGGAGGTAGTGGAGTCAAAGATAATTTGACACCACAATCTGGGGCCTGAGAAAAGCAGGATGATGGAGGCCTGGCTTCCATTAGATGAGCAAGATGGTGAACTCAGCACTGGGCAACTTTCGTGTTGGGTATCAGAAGGGCATGCCTTGGAGGTGACTGAGACTCAGCCCCATTGCTTTTGTCCCCGTGAAGATCCTCATCTCCATACAGCAGATGAATTGGGAGAAGGAGGGTATTTTTCCAGGACCTGAACTGTCCCTTCTACTCCCATGTGGCAGGCATCTTGTCTCTGCCCCAGCGTATTCACCAAAGCAGACATTCTGTCCCCCAGAATGAGCTAACATTTCCATTTATAGATCCCTCCCCCACCTTGTACTAGCCACTGTTCCAAGTCATTATACCCTCATAACAACCCTGAAAGGTAGGTGATATTAGCCCCATTTTATGGATGTGGAAACTGAAGCTCCCCTAGAGGAGTAGCCAACAACCCACATCCTCACAACTAGGAAGGTGGGGGAGGGGAACCAGGATTTGTGCCCTAGTCATTGAGCTCACTGAGCTATGACTTTGTTACACCGTTGTGCCTCCTGCCTGCTGTCCAATGAGGTTTAATTTAATTCTACCCAGTTCCATTTAGCACATGTTTCCTGAGCACCCACCAAGGGTAGGGTGGTCTCCCAGGTGGTGAGGAATTAAAGAGGCATAAGACATGTGTAGGAGAGACAAATATAAACCCCACTACCTCCACGAAAGGAACCTGACGCAGTCCACAGTGCCCGAGAGGGGTTTAATTCTGCCTGCACCCAGCCCATATGCTGGTTCCAGCCACCGACAGCAAGTGTGGGCCACTCCCAGGAATCCCAAAATTTCAAAGCTGAAAGGGACCTTAGTATCCAACCAACCAATTTTACAGATAAGGAAACTGAGGCCCAGAAAGGGGAGGTGGCTTTTCCAGGGTAACATAACTGCTTAGTGTCAAAGCCAGGGCCAAAGCCTAGGTGTCCTCACTCTGCGTCTGGTACCCTGGACTCAAAAGGCTCCTCTTTCCTTCACAGCTGCAAGACGTTCACATCTGCCCCTCAGCACCTCAGACTTCCCTCCCTCCCCACCAGCTTCCCACTCCCCACGCTGGCCTTGCACACCTTGCCCCAGTCTGCCAGGTCCAGACAGGGCTGGGGGCAGGGAGACAGGGTGAGTGGCTGTGCACTCTCCTCCCAGGCCCAGCCCACCACCTCATTGCCCCCGCCAGTTTCCTTCTCCTCAGGGTGCTGGGTCGGGGGAGAGCAGAGGTGGGGCCTGGTAAAGTCCTGTGCAGCCAAGATGTGCGTCCCTAACTAACATTCAGACTGGGAGTGAGCTCAAAGGCCCTTACTGGGTTTTTAAGGCTATTGTTGTTGTTACTAGCTTGTTGTGTATAAAGTGCTTTCTCTTTATAAAACTACAAGATGAAACAAACTTAGCCCCTCTCCGGACCCCCGAGTTGTGTCATACGAGGAGGGGCAAAGCACTGCTGTGGGAGTTTTACAGGCCACACAAAGGCAAGACCCTTCCCTGTTTCTGTCTGGAAAGTTGACGCTCCCTTTTCTTGTTTGGTCGAGTCTGAGAAATGCTTTCCTCTCCCTTGCGCGGGAGCCTCCTAGCCCAGGCGAAGGTGGGCCTTGTTACCTTGGCGATAGCGAGGTTGGGCTGAGAGGCTGCTCCAGCAGCCAATAGAGGCCGGGAGGGGGCGGGACCAGCTGGGTCTTCTGCGACGGTGGCGGGGCTCGCAGGTTAGCGGACCGGGCGTTGGGGGAGGGGTACGGGGGTCTTTGGGGCACCCGGGGGTCCCAGGCCGGCCCGAGACCCCTGATTAGGTGGGTACTGGCCTTGGCGGTCGGATCAGGGCTCCCAGCCTGTACACCGAAAGTTTTCATCTGGCCTTGAGTGGGGAGAAGCTGCCGGGCGGGCGGGCGGAGGCGGAGATGGCGGAGGGCGGTGGAACGTGCCGCGAGGGTCAGAGCGGGGCCTGGTCCTAGGAACTCGAGGTCCCCGGCCGCGGAGTCCCCGGGAGGCCCCCTCTTCCCGGGCGCTCCAGGTGGGCGATGGAGAGCCGGAGACTTGGAGACGGAAGGCCGTATTTGGCCACAGGGTTTTAGGAGGCCCTGGAATGCTGAACCCAGCTCCTAACCGCATTCCTACGTCCTGGCGGGAGGGCTAAAGGGCCGAGAGTGCGGGGTATGGTGTGGCCCCCTTCCCCTTCCCTACTTCTATCTCTTATGCAGGTGTCCGGTCTGGCTGGCCTCCCAAGCCCGATCAGCATGAAGCTCCTATGTTTGGTGGCCGTGGTCGGGTGCTTGCTGTTGCCCCCAGCTCAAGCCAACAAGGTGAGGGAGGTGATCCAGCAGCACCTCGTGCGCGACCACCCTGCCTGCGGACAGGGCTCCCCACCCCCGCCCGAGGTAGCTGCTGCTCCAGCCCTGCCCCTCACTCATCAATGGACCGTAGTTTTGGGGAGTGTTCTCGCGGGCGCCAGACTGCAGGCCTCCTCCGTAAGGGTGGAGTGAAGGGAGAGGGGTGGAGCACAGAGCACACGTTCTGGATCCGAGTGGAAACCTAGGTGAGATTCCAGCGGGGGAGTTTGTGTTTGGAGGAGTTATCCAAGTTCCCCATACCTTCCTTTGCTCCTGGGTAAAATCGGGGTGCTTATAATGTCTGCTACTCTACTTAAGGAGAATCAAGTAATATAGTTTGTGGAAATGCTCCTTAAGTGTGAAGTCTTGCACAGCTGGAAGTTTCTGTTACACGGAGGGTGACCAACCTAAGCGCTGGGACTCCTGAGAAATTTCCATTCTTTAGGGGTAAATGACCCAGAACTGGGCTTGGGTAGCTCTGTGGAATTTAAAATTCTGAAGGTCATCAAGGCTTTAAGTGAGATTGAGTCTGAGGGTTTGGTTCCAGCCCCTCTGGGGAATTCCTGATTGGAATGAAAATTATTTGTGGTTTTGTTTCTTACTCATTTCAGGGAGGAGGAACTTTCTAAGGGATTGCTTGGGTATTCCCATGGAAATGATCCACTTTTTGTGTACCCTTGCCCTTTACCTTCCCCCATTCCTAACCTAGGAAGTTGGAGTTGGGTTGGGGGCGGGAAGGGGCTCACCATCAGGGTTGCTGGGCAGAGGTGCACACAGCAAGTGTGGGGCCCAAAGTAGAGGGCTGTCACTTTGCTTGCCACACCCCCCCCCCCCCCCCACTCCCAGGCATCCTTCTGGGGAATGGCAGCCCTAGGCAGTTTTCTGTGAGTCTCATTTGCCACCTGGACAGTTTCTGTCTTGAGAATCCTGTGATATTAGCATCCTTTTTGCAGAAGTCATTCCTTACTGAACTTGGGGATGGGCAAGGTCAAGAGCATTCATATATGAACAAGTCTTGCTAGAACCTGAAGCCAGGGGCCCTGCCTACCTGCCTACCATGTACTTTCTCTTCCAGAGCTCTGAAGATATTCGTTGCAAATGCATCTGTCCACCATATAGAAACATCAGTGGGCACATTTACAACCAGAATGTGTCACAGAAGGATTGGTAAGGCGCTGTACAGCCTGGCTCGTGGCTGCTACAACTAGTTGAAAGTACAAGTGTTTACTGGGGTTCTTAGATCCCTGGAGGATGAGCTTGCTCCTGCTTTCCCACTAGAGCCTACAAAGGACTGTTTTGTCCATGGTCACACAGCCAGTTGGGAACAGGACCCAGGTGTCTTGAATTCTAGCTGAGGGGTTTCTGGTCAGAGAAGTGGATTTTGATATTTTGCTTTGATTTGGGTGTTTATCAGTAATGCAAAATGGTAGAGAGATTGGGCGAGGTAGATAGTATGCCCACATACGATGGGACCTTTTGTGTACTTTTGCAAAGCTCTGTTACGTGTGTTATTCTGTACCAGTCTCATTAACGCCTTGTAAGGTAGATGGGATAGGTAGTGTTCCCTTTTTATAATTGCAGAGACTAAAACCCAAAGAGGAAATTTCACTTATACTCCTGGAGTCCTGAATTCATTTCTGGATGCTTCCCTTTAAAAAGGAGAAAAAGAAGCACAGATTCATTCAGAGAAAGGAGACCAGCTTGGTGAAGGGAAGTTTCAACACCATATCCTAGAAGGAGTGGCTTCCTAGAAGGGAGGCTCGACGAGGAGAGGGCTCGGGAACATCTGGTCGCTGACAAAGACCAAGAGCAGGGCAGGCATGCTTTGGGAGGTGGGGCACATGGGAGTGGTATCAGTTATGTTCAATGTGGTTTTTTGGTGTAGAATTGGAGTCAGTAGAAACAGCTTTAAGGGTGGCTTCAGGGAAACTATAAGTGTGAGCGAAGGAAGCATTTTTAATCCAGGCTATTTTAAGAGCTGGGAAGCCCGCTCCTTGGAGGGATCTGAGCACAGATGGGGTGATTCTTTGCTAAGGGCACTGTGGAAGGGATTCACATCACAAGGAGGGGGTGTCCAGGTCAGGGCCCCTCCTTGGTTGTAGGTTAGTATCATCAGGTGGGCTTTGAGAAAATACAGATTCCCAGCACCACCTATCCCTAAGATTTGGGGTTTTGTTGTTTTCTTTCTTCCCAGCTTTATTGAGGTCCTTTAGACATAGCACTTTGTGTAAGTTTAAGGTGTACAACCTGATGGTTCGATGCACATACATATTGTGAAATGTTACCACAATAAGGTTAATGAATACCTCCGTCACCTCACATAATTACCGTTTGTGTGTGTGTGGTAAGAACATTTAAGATCTACTCTCTTTACAACTTTCAAGCATATAATACGGTGTTGTTAACTGTAGTCTCCCTCCTGTACATTCGATCTCCTCCCCCTATGATTCGGATTCAGGAAATAATCGGGGAGCAGGGGGGGCAGGAGTAACGTTCTCTTAAAGTTCCTTAGGTGATTACGAGCAGCCTTTGGGAATTTGGAACTTCTCCAGTTCTGAGATAGTCTGAGTGATTTTCCGAGAGGCAGGCTCGCTAGATGTGCAGACTCGGGATCTGGCCTGCCTGGCTTCAAATCCAGGTTGGCCCCTTGTTCATTATGTGACAAGTGACTTCATGTCCAGAGTACTTCCGTTTCCTCATCTGTAAGATGGATGGCAGTATATTGAATATTGAATGTGTGTGTGTGTGTGTGCGTGTGTGCGTGCTTGTACATGCCCATGTCAGAGCCCTTAGGACAATGCCTGGCATGTAGTAAGTGCTGTATAAATGTTAGCTAATATTAATATATATTATCATGCCTTGTTAGAGGCCACATAGGTAATCATTGAAAGACTTAGAGCACAGCCCCAGAAAACGAGCTCCTCTGGTTCACACAACACAGCAGAATGTTTCCCTCTGGTTTCGCCTGTCCTGATGGATTCACAAAGCCCTAAGACGTGAAGTCCTGGGAGGAGCCCCTGTGACCTCCCTGTATCTTGCGGTTATAGCTCAGATAACATCAGTAAATAAATTGATAGACTGAGCCCCACAGCAGATAGTAAGGCTACGTCCCACAGGCAACAGCAGATTTTAGTAGCCCTGTCTCTGGCCTGGGGTGATAAGATGGCCTGCAAACCCAAGCTTGGATGCCCGCAGAGAAAGGAGTCCTGCTCAGGCTGTAGTTTATTTTCTTCTCCTTAGAAGTCAGAATTAGGGGATTACCCAATGAACAATCTTAAGTTGAGAACTTGGAGACAGTTCCATTAAGGGTAGTAGGTGGAAACTGAGGCTGGGCAGGATTCTAGGACCCAGCGACAACATTGGCAACCCCCCGGTAGGGGTGGGGACGGG